CCATACACACACACTGCCCCCCATACACACACTGTCCTCATACACACACTGCCCTCCATACACACACTGCCCCCCATACACACACTGCCCCCATACACACACTGCCCCAAAAACACATACAGTGCCCCCATACATACACTGCCCCCTAACACACACACTACAACCCTGACATACACTGCCGCACTCACACACTTCACCCTTAACACACACCACTGCTCCTATACCCTATATCCCAGCAGACCCCAGATAAGTTGTCAAACTGTTCTTAAACGGTATGACTACTTACTCTGGGGTGGAATCCTGGCACTACTGACACCATAACTACTACACTGAGCTGTAGTGGTTATTGTGCCTGGATTATTTAATTAAATAATCTACAAGTGCCCCTCCCGAGATCAGGCTCTGGATCCGCCACTGATTCCGGGTGCTACCCAATGGGTATTTACTATGCTGTTCATGTGCATCTTGGATAGATGTGTAGGTCCATGGGCAATCTGGACCATCATGGGGTACAATACTTGTGGCAAACATAGTCTTTTACCTTTCCTCCACATTCTGTCATCATCAGGTTCTGCATCTTGTTTCCACCAGAGGTCATGTTCTTAATTGCTTGCCTGTCTTTGTAAGCTCAACAGTATATTGTAGTCAACGGCGTCATCTGTAAGAACAACTTGTAGGAAGGTATTACCTGTAGAGGGATGAACTTGAGTTGCTGCTTGCTTGGCAGCTTCGTCTGCTTTGTGGTTTCCTCTTGAGATATCATCTGTGATCTTCACGTGAGCTGCCACCTTGATGATGCCTACTTGAGTGGGTAGCAGGATAGCGTCCATAAGTGCACTCACGACTTCAGAGTTCTTGATTGGAGATCCTGCTGAGGTGAGAAAATCACAGGCCTGTCATATAGGGCCAAAATCATGGGCTATACCGAAAGCATAGCGAGAGTCTGTATAAATATTAGCAGTCTTACCAGAAGCTATTTTACACGCTTCAGCGAGTGCCTTCAGCTCTGCCTCCTGTGCAGAGCAGTGAGGAGCGAGTGGTTCAGCTTTTATTACCTCATGTGCAGAGACTACAGCATATCCAGTGTGGAAATTACCATTCTCATCAGCATATCTGGAACCATCTACAAAAAAACTCAAAATCTGCATTAGATAATGGAGAATCAATTACATGCAAAAAACAACCTGTTGTTTCTTGTGCCATTAGTGCTGCACAATCATGGGGTACCTGGGTGTCAGCTAACTCATCTGGTGAATGTGAATTTACAAAAAGATCAGAACAACAAGTACCATTCCCACTATCTCCACTCCCCTCTTTTAAATCCAGGGGAAGTAATGTAGATGGATTTAACACCATACACCTTTTCAGAGTAACATTAGGTGGCATAAGCAAGGCATATTGCTTTCTGAGATGCCTTGCAGTATGTATGTGTTTTGGTTGAACTAGTGACAGTATGCTGTTGATGTCATGCTGTGTGCATATGGTCACTGGGTTATCTAAGACAATATTAGTGGCTTTGTCCACGAGGGCAGTAACAGCCGCCACTGCCCTAACACATGAGGGGGCACACCTGGCAACAGGGTCCAATCTGGTGGAGTAGTATGCTATTGGTCTTTGTTTACCACCATGGTCCGGTGTAAGGACAGATGTAGCATTTTCGGCTGCATGGGTTAATTTAAAGGGTTTGTTTTTGTTGGCGAGACAATCATACAGGGGCAGCATGTAGATTGCTGTAGAAGCCAAGGTCGACAGTATGAATCGTAGCTGGGCTAGGCTGCGGGGGGGGGGAGGTGTAGTATTTTAAACTGCAGTCTGCCTCTGCCAAGAATTTCAGTAAGGAAAGAGTGTTTACAATACAAGTCTCTATTATCACAAAATAGGATTAGGTCCTCGATATACTGCAATAAAATTACATTATTTGGCCTTTTGCCACTCTTCAAGAATCTGTGCCATAGCCATGCTGTACATAGTGGGTGAGTTTTGGGCGCCCTTTGGCAATACTGTTCAAGTGTACTGCTTGTGTTAATGTGTAAATGCAAATAAAAACTGACTGTCGGGATCCAGGGGGACACTGAAAAATGCATTTGCCAAGTCAATAACAGTAAATACCTTAGAGGAAGGTGGTATCTGTTCCAACAAGGTATGTGAGTTGGGAACATTAGGGGCAATCAGTTCAGTTACAGCATTAATTGCCCTCAGTTCATGTACCATATGGTAGACCACAGGTTTCCCTTTCTCTTGCTTTTTCTTAATTGGGTACAATGGTGTGTTACAAGGGGAGGTGGTCTGGACAATTACCCCTGCCTGCAGAAACTCTTGCACAGATTGGGAAATAGTATCTTCCTGTGCTGGGCTTATGGGGTATTGTTTTTGATAGGGAGGTTTGGCTCCGGGCAGGAGATTCACTTTGACTGCGGGCACAGATAGTCTGCCTGTATCTTTCTTCCCTGTAGCCCATAAGGAATCAGGGATTGAGGACAAGTCAATGGTAGGTACTGGCACATGGCTGGGCATAGTGAGAGTTGCCAGAACATTTGAAAGAGATATAATTTGTTTGTCCTCCAAAGGCACAGACAATGTTACTTTTCCAGTGGGGCTATACTGGATATTTGCACTAAGAGCAGACAGTATATCACTGCCTAGTAGATTAGCAGGGGCATCAGTATATTTAACAATTATTCTAGCCCAAATGGGGCCAGCTTTTATGGCAACAATCTGTTTTAAATCCATCCAAGTACACTGGTAAGTAGCTTGAATGGTGGATAGAGACTGGAGTAGAGCTAAGGGGGTCTTTTTAACATCCGGCAGCTTCTGTATTATTGACAGTTGTTCACTGGGTGTCCAGGGCTTATATTCTTCCCCTTATTGGATACCTGAACTCGGCTGTCTCTTCTCATGGTATATACTCTCAAATTTTGTATCATGGGAGTAGTAAATTGTGGAGCTAACGGCCCCACTGGCCTTTCCGATTAGCGCTGACTCTACTCTCCATTTTGTTCCCTTATGTCTGGTGGACTACCCACCTTCTTGCCCATTCTGGGACCCTAGAGGTCCAAAACATTGATAATATGGTACACCTTTTCTGGTGGTTTCTCTACAACCACATTTAGTTAATTCAACAGCAGTATCATGCAATTTTTGGGCAACTTCTACTAAGTCATTATCTTCTAACCAACCTCTGTAATTTGCCATAAATTCACTCCATATATGTGGGTCTAGAGGGCATGCCAGCTTTCTTAAGTAACCTCTTAACATTCTTAATTGCTCCTTGTCCTTTGTGATGCTTGACAATAGTCAAAGCCGTAAATCCCCCTCGTGTGCTTTCAGAGCTACCCATCTTAAAACTTGTAAGGGTTAATTACTGCCTTACACAAGACAAACTGTACAAAAACAGTGTATAATACACTTATGACCATTGCAGTGGAATTTTCACAGTTTTGTCTTCTAAACACAGATCAGGAGATCTGCTTTTGGATGATTCTAACTCAAATTATAAAACAAATGACAAGGCAAACAATAAAAATAACTTAAAACCCACAGATATATTCCTCTATCTCAAGATTCCTTTCACAAGATATAACACAACATCCACCTGAATATAACCATAATACCACAGAAAACAAGTTCTTTAGATCAGACATTTTTAAAATCCTTACCCACCCGGACAGGGGTCTCAAAGAGCACCAGAAAGTCAAAATCATTTATAGGTAGAAAAATAAAAGCTTTTTCTTACCCGCTGCAGCTGATTAACCATCTGGGCTCCGAGCCAACCTTTCTGGGTCCGGATGAACTGGATTTGTCTGATCCCGGGGACACGGTACCACGGTGTTGTGGATCCAAATAATGATCTTTGTTATATTCAGAGGAAGCCCAAATTATTATTACAAGTGCACTTGGAGAAGCGAGAATTAGACACCAGACACCTGTTGGTATTCAAAATAAGCCTTTGACGTTTTATTTATCAGCTGGGTTTTATACATTAAAAAGTAAGTGCTTACGTGCAAATACTCTTAGAACAGTAATAGGAAGGGAGTACAGATAAGGGATGAACATCATGTACACATAACAAATAAGTTCCAAGGTAAGAAAGAACAAAAAGATTAGAGAAGAGACATTTTAGGCTTTCTGCTCCTGGAACTAGACATAGTGTCACAACAAGCATCAAGCATTTCCGGAGTCCAAGTTAGCCAATTTTAATATAGGATATCATTATATGACACCTATAAGCTTGAGCCTTGGAATCAAGATAAATTCTATCACAATTGCATGACATTTTAGTCGACATTATTTCTAGTTTGTTGCCTAGTTATGGCTTCAACCTGAATTGAACCCATAAGATAGTCAATGTTTAGGGTTTCAATATTGATGGCAGCTTGTTTTGCCAGTGAATCGGCTAAGTCATTACCTTCCTTGTCAAACCTTGTATTTTAGAATGGCCTTTGTTTTTTTTTTTCCAGTATATGGTTAAACCATTTTTCTTAACCAGTTCATTGATTTTTACAAAACAATTTACTGTGTTTAACAGGTTTGTTATTGCTTTTCGGCATTTGGTTATGTTTACAGCTAGGCAGATAGTCCACAAAACTGTTGCGAACATAGTTGGAATCAGTTATGATAAATTCTTTGATACCATATTCTATTGCCATTTGTATAGTCTTATATATTGCACAGTGTTCGGCTATCTGACTGCTTTTGGGACCAATATTGTATCTAATAGATACATTAGGATAATCACCTATCCAGGTGATTCCGATACCTGCAACTAACCTCCGTTCATTACCAACGATGTGGTGATATGAACAACCATCAATGTACACCCATGATAGTAGTCGACAGTATTCCTTGTCATAAAAATTATAAGGGGATAGCAGTTGCTCTTCTAGGAAGTCATCTCCAATGCCATTATCATCTCGAGATGAAGCAGTATAGTCATGTAATTCTGCTAAACCTTGTGCAAGTGGGCTTCTCTTATGTTTAGAATGGACTTTTAACGGCTAACGGACTTCTAAGGGCCCATGCAGTAATCCAACTGTTAGAGAGATTACCTTCTCTAATTCTTTCACTCTGCAGATACTGTATGAGCAGTTACTACAATAAGTTTCTCACTTTGGATATAGCTATGAAAATTTTGTAGTGCCTAAACAGTCAACAATAACACCTACTCACACGTGTTGAATTTAACGTCAACAGTGGCACAGTCTTTCCAGCATATGCAATAACGCTGTTTAGACTGTCCTGCTCTTGATACAGAACAGTAATTATGCTTAAATCTGTGTATCCTGTCTCCAGATAGAAGGATTTACCCCCTATGGGTATGCTAAACAGGGTGCCTGAGTGAGTTTCCTCCTCAGTTCACTTACCGCTTGGGTTATAGTTACCACTTGGTCAGCAGATGACATGTAAAAAGAAGCATAAATGCACATAGTGAAGTATATAATGATTAAAAATTAATATAAATAATAAAAAACAAACTCACAAGGAGAGTGGCACAAAAATAATTATTTCTAATTTGTGCACAAAAGCTTTTAAGCCTCAAGGAGGGGGGGGGGGCTTACTCCCCAGTCTCTGGAAAGGGCCATGGGTACCTCTACAGATCAGTCTAATGGTTCAATCCAGCAGTGGATTATGGTGAGGTAGATCATTGTGAGGTAGATGTAAAAACGGATTCCCAATACCAGCCTCCTTCCTTGGGGTAAACAGTTGCTCGCTCGATGCGTTTCGTCCGTTTGGACTTTCTCAACGTTTTTCGTCTGTCCCACTGCGCATGCATATGCTGTCTGTAGCGGAGAGGTAGTATCATCCACAATATCTCAGCTGGTAGACAGGAACAGCATGTAGTAATCTAGGTAAAACAAGTACAGCATACAATAATCCCGTGGGCGTTATACAGATCCTTCCTTCCCAAGAACTAGACGACACATAGGCTGGGAGTCAACTGAGGTTTTATTCACAAGCTCCAGTATTTATGTGGTTCCCCATGCAAGGGGTTTCTTTACTGACTTTACAGGGGTTGTACAGTAGGGGACTACATGGGGAACTTAACAATCAGAACATTTCTCCCACCATGCACTGGTGTACGAGAGGGATACTGCCACTAGAATATCCCGTACAGCAGAACTGGCTTTTTACATAAAAATCTATAACTCTAATATTATTCGTGCTATTGCACCGAATAACCGTTCGGCAGATAGCTGGGGTCGGAGCGCATACTTTGTGAAAGTATCACTCAAATCTCAGCACAATTCGTTATTTAGTCAATGTTTCTATGGGAGGTTGTGTGCTAATTGGGTAAGGTTTCTGTCTTAAGGTGGTATTGGTAGGTGTGTGATTTGGGTGAGGGGGTTGGTGTTTGGCATAGGGGAGGGGATTGGAGGTTGGGGGGTATCGGGGAGCAGGGAAGGAGGTAGTGTCGGGGGAAGTCAGCAACGAGGCGTTTCCCGGTTGGCATTCAGTCAAGTGATGGGCTGGTGACCCAGGATCCATGTGTCGTGTCGTGTAGTAGGGCTGAAAGTTTATCCATCTCCATGGTTTCTGTTGCCTTACGGAGCATGGTCATTAGTAGAGGTGTGGATTGGTTGCCACATTGTTATGCGATCATTCTCCTGGTGGCCAGTGCTATTTTTGCTACCAGTTTGTTTTGTGCTCAATTGAGGGGGTGTAGGGTTTGAATAGTAGCCAGGCCCACGGATCTGTGGATATGTCTGTATGTAAGAGTCTGGAGGTGAGGTCGGAGACTTCAGCCCATAATTATGAGATGTGGGGGCACTCCCACCACAGGTGAATATATGTACCTTTATTTCGGCAGCCCTTCCAGCATGCATCAGAGTCCGTGCGGCCCATCTGTTTTAGTCTAAAGGGTGTAAGATACCATTGGAGTAGCGTTTTATAAGTTTGCTCCTTGTGATTTTCACAGAGTGTGAGTGAAGTCGTGGCCTCCCAGATGTCACCCCAGTCTGCCTATATCTCTCTCCCAAGCTTTCGTGTATGTGAGTGCATCAGCTGGGGAGTTGGAGTTTATTTGGAGGTACATATTGGAGATCTGTCCTTTGTGTATGGGGCGTGTATACTAAGCGTATTGTGTTACTTTAGTGGTAGCTGTGGCGGCGTGTTGGGGTTCATTTTTATAAACTACGGATCTGTAAGTACCGGAATTGGTCAAAGGTGTTTAGTGGTGTATTCTTTGGTAGGTCCGGGATTTGCATTAGTTGGTGGTCCTGGAAGAAGTGGAAAAATATGAGGAGCCCGTTGTCTTTGAAATGTGCGAAGTGTTGGGGTGCCATGCCTGGGGGGAATTGTTTATTTCTCAGGATTGGAGTGAGTGGTGAAGGTGTGTCCATTAGGGGGTACCTGGGGGTAGTTTTGTCCCATATATATGGAAAGATGCAGTGAGGACTGGGGTAGTCTGTGGACTTTGTGGCCTGTCCCTTTTGGAGAGCCTGAGGAGGATTGAGAGGTGGTCCCTGCCCAGAAGGTCATGTTCAATGTCCACCCATAATTTAAGTCCTGGTTGTGTGCCTAGATGTTGTATTTGCGCTAGTTTAGCAGCTAGGAAGTAATCATAGAAGTTTGGGAGACCTAGGCCTCTGGACTTTGTGGTTTTGTACATCGTGGACCTCTTTATCCTTGGTCTTTTGTTTGACCATACAAAGTTATCTATTTTCGCCTGGAGTGTTTTGAAGTCTCGCTTGGATATGGGGATGGGTAAAGCCTGAAATAGGTAGAAGAACCGGGGGAGAGGGTTCATTTAGATAGAGGCTATTCTGCCTAGCCAGGATATGGACATGGAGTTCCATTTATGAAGATCAGTTTGTGCATGTTGGAGTAGGGGTGAGTAGTTTAGGGCGTAGGTTGAGGTGAGGTCTGCGGGGAGATGAATCCCTAGGTAATGGATGCTATCTGAATTGTATCTAAATGGGTGTGTTAATTTTATGCGGTGCAGAGTCAGCTGTGGCAGTCTTATCATCTTGTCCAGGTTCCGTTTGTATCCTGATAGGTTGGTGTATTCCTGTAGAGTAGAGGTGGTAGGGAGTCGTCGGGGTCGGTGATAGTCAAGAGGATATCGTCGGTGTAGTCCGCAATTTTATATTCCTCCTGCCTGATGTTTTGGAGTACAGGTTCAAGGGCGAATAGGAGCGGGGAGAGGAGGCAGCCCTGTCTCGTCCAGTTTTTGATTGTGAATTCAGGTGGTTTTGTGTTAGGAAGGAGTAGCGTGGCTGTAGGTTGGTTATATAGGGTTCACAGGACTGTGATGATGGGTGTGGGGAATCTACATTTCTGGAGGGTGGTAAAGAGAAAAGGCCAGAGTAAGTGGTCAAATGCCTTTTTGGCGTCCATCGAGAGGAGTAGGGTTGGGATCTGTCTGTGGTGGGCCACCCATATCAGGCCAATCATGCGTCTGGTATTATCGCATGCCTGCCTGGAGTGTATAAAGCCCACCTGGTCGGGGTGATAGAGTTTCGGGAGGTATGGTTGTATGCGGTTAGCTAGGATCTTAGTAAATATTTTGGTGTCCACATTAAGAAGGGATATGGGTCTGTAGTGTCTTGGGTCCAAGTGTGTTTTATTTGGTTTCGGGATGAGGCATGTGTTTGTTCTGAGCAAATCTGCCGGCAAGGTCTCCCCATGTAGAAGTGAATTGTAAAGTGTAGTAGGGTGAGGTGAGAGCATCCGAAAAAGTCTTATAGACTGGCCCAAGGCACTTGTTTGGTTTGATCGTTTTCAGTGTGTTCGCTATTTCTTCTGGTGTAATGGGAGAGGAGAGAGCTGCCCTCGCTGTGTCCCCAGAAGTGTCCTGCTATGGTTAGGAATCTGCACTGCGCATCAGAGAATGTACATGTGAAGTGGATGGTGCAAGATTTATGGATCAAGATGGCTACTCCGTTGCGTTTACCATTCTGGGAGTTGGCTAAGTGACACGTCGTTTAATTTCTGTTTTTGAGGGGGAAGGGTCTATTCTTTTCGTAATGTGTTTCCTGGAGGAGAATGATTTCGGCCCCTGATCTGTTTGCCCAACGGAGTAGTTGGTGCCATTTAGCGGGTTGTTTAGGCAATTTAGAGAGATGCAAGAGATCGTCTTTGGCATGTTTGGGCGTGTGTGGTCGCTGAACAAGCGGAAGCTTTAGGGTATGTGGAGCCGTCTGGCTCACCACCGAGGAGTGGGTGGGGTGTTGTGGAAGTAGGGTAGGGGGTGTGGAAGGAAAGTGACAGGATGGAGAGGGGAGAGGGAGAGGGGAGGAGGAAAGAGGGGAGGAGGGGATGGGGGGTGTAGGTTGTTGGAAATAGTACTTTAGCCAGGTAGCGTGGGGGGGATGTGTAAGGTGCCTTTAGGAAGGGTTCGTGTGTAAGTATCGTCCCTGGAGGGACCAGTGTGTGTGGGGTGAAGGAGAGACGAGGAAGGTTTTCACGTTCCCGACTCTCCCCCTCCTAGAGCACTGTTTACGGAGCATCACTCACGGTTTAGTAGGTTGTCGGATGTTGGTTGTGCTGTGTGCCGTGAGTGGTCCCACTGTATAATCTGTTAATGAAAGTCTGTGAATACCGATTCCTCTGTCCAAGTATTGGAGAGAAGGTGTAGTGGTGTGTGAAGAAGCCATCTGTAACATAACAATTCAACGTGAAGGTACATACAATAACATATGAACATGCAAACCATTATATACAATTCTATACTTTATAATATATTTCTGTAGTTTCCTGAGGGCCTGTGAGTCCAGTCTATGGTTTTACAAGGTCAATAGCCATAATGCTCCAGTCAGGGGTCAGTAGGCCTGTGATAGTGGGTCCCTGAGTTCTCTGGAGAGTTAGTCAGTATTTCCCTTGTTCTGTGGGGTAGATAGGGGTGGCTGTTCGGGTGAGTTGCAGTGCGTCTG